AGCTGCAGTGGAAGTAGAGTAGCTGGGACTCCATCTGGTGCTCGTATGGGATGCCAGTGCCACAGGCAGAGGCTTAGCCTGTTATGCCATGGCATCAACCCAACTCATTTTTTTGTTTGTTTAATTTAATTTATTGATTTGGAAACTAGAATTACAGAGAAAAAGGGACAGATCATGAGAAAGAGAGATCTTCCATTTACTGTTTCATTCCCCAGATGGCACCAGCAGATGGAGCTTGGTTAGGCTGAAGCCAGGAGCCAGGATCTTCTTCCACGTCTTGCATGGGGGTGTCAGGGCCCCCAAAACTAGGACCATATTCTGTTACTTTTCCCAGCCCACTGGGATGCTGGTGTCGTAGGGTGTGCCTTCGCTGGCTGTATCACAGTGCTGGCCCCTGACATCCATTTTGACCTCTCACTCCTGCCTACTGAAGCTGGGTGCTGGCAATTCAGCCAGGCCTCTCACTTGGACTGGAGGACCCCAGCCACGTGCGTCATCTCCCCTGCATCTGCAGGTCTGCATTGGCAGGAAGCAGGAGTCGGGAGCCAGAACTGGGAAAGGAGCCTGGGTACTCGGATATGGGAAGCAGGCGTCTTCAACGCTAGACTAAGAACTTACTTTGTTAAATACGGTTTTCTGAATCCATGACATTGATAAATAAGAGCTTTGGATTTTCTAAGGGTCTGGGGAGACAGACACCTCAAGCTACAATGTAACAACACACAAGTGAGACAGGCCTCCTAACTGCCTCTCAAATTCCTTCCTCCCATCCCTGGTCCCATTGTTCTTGAAATTGAAGTGTCTCTAAAGTTCTCCAGCACATGACATCCCATTCTTTTCTGCGTGCCACATCTCAACACCTGCTGGATCTAGGATCTACAGATCCTGAGGCTTAACTCAAAAGCCACCTCCTCTATGAGGCCTTCCTGACTCCCTCTGCTCAAGTCCGTCTCTACCGCAATGCTCAGACTTGGGTCACTCATTTGCTACATACTTAATGTTAACCACAGTCTGTCTCCTTCACCAGACTAATCACTCTGGAGCATCTCTCAAAAACTGGAGTGTCCTAAAATGTAAATTGGGGGCCACCATGATGACTTCATTAGCTAAATGCTCTGCCTGCAAGCACCAGCATCCCAGATGGATACTGGTTTGTGTTCTAGCTGCTCCACTTCCCATCCAGCTCCCTGCTTGTGGCATGGGAAAGCAGTCAAGGGTGACCCAAGTGTTTGGAACCCTGCGTTTATATGGAGACTTGGAAGAAGCTTCTGGCTCCTGGGTTTGGATCAGCTCAGCTCTGGCTATTACAGCCATTTGGGGAGTGAGCCAGCAGTTAGAAGATCTTCCCCTCTTTGTCTCCTTCTCTCTATAAATCTCTTTCCAATAAAAAAAAAAATAAATCGTACAAAAAGAATAAAAAATGTAAATTGGAAGCTCTTCTTCCAAGATTTGTTTATCTGAAAGTCAGGATTTACAGAGTGAGAGAGACTGAGAGATCTTCCACTCACTGATTCACTTAGCAAATGGCCGCAATGACCTGAACAGGGCTGATCTGAAGCCAGGAGCCAGAAGCCTCTTCTGGGCCTCCCATGTGACTGAAGGGTCCAAGGGCTTGAGCCCTCCCCGTTCCCGCCCCCCCGCCCCCGCTTTCCCAGGCACATTATCAGGGATCAGGATCAGAAGTAAAATAGCACACCAGGACATAAACCGACACCCACGTGGGATACTGACAAGCCACTCTGCAGGCTCCTTGCAAGTTTTGGCATCAATTTTTTTTTTTTCTATAGGAGGCTAAAGATGCTTTCAAAAAGCCTCTGCAGGATACTGCAGGCGCAGCCACAGCAGGCACCGTGGAGGGTGGCTTTAACTTGGACGGGGGTGCTCCAGCAACAGAAAGCTGGCCCCGGGGCTCATCTGTAGCAGAAGGTGCAGATCACCATGGCGAACGCACAGGAGCCGCTGCAAAGGATGATGGACAAGTGCTTCCGCAAGTGCGTCGGGAAGCCTGGGGCTAGCTGGACAACTGGGAGCAGAAGTGCCTCACCAAGTACATACAACTCGCTTTCCAATAAAAATAAACCTTAAAAAAGAAAAGTCCCAAAGGTGGTTACCTAGTGGCTGAAGTCCTTACCTTGCACATGCTGGGATCCATATGGACCCTGGGTCCGTGTCCCGGTGGTCCCGCTTTCCATCCAGCTCCCTGCTTATGGCTTGGGAAAAGCAGTCCAAGACACCCCAAAACCTTGGGACCCTGCACCCGTATGGGAAACCCGAAAGAGCTCCTGGCTCCTGGCTTCGGATTGGCTCAACTCCGGCCGTTGCAGCCACTTGGGGAGTGAACCATCAGACAGAAGATCTTCCTCCCTGTCTCTCCTCTCTGTCTATCCGCCTTTCCAATAAAAATAAACAAATATTAAAAAAAAAGGGAAATTACTGAAGCTCAGAAAGATTGCAAAGACTTTTCCATTATGATCAATAGCTGTCTTCAAACTCTAAGCAAACTACTTTGCCTTCCCTGATAAACTTTTTTCTCTTTTTTCTTTAAATATTTACTTTGTTTTTATTGGAAAGGCAGATATACAGTCAGGAGGAGAGACAGAAAGATTTTTTATTTGCTGGTTTACTTCCTAGGGGCTGCAGCAACCAGAGGTGAGTTGATCCAAAGTCAGAAGCCTCTTCTGGTTCCCCCATGCCTATGGGGCTTTAGGCCATCCTTACTGCTTTCCTAGGTCAAAAGCAGGGAGCTGGATAGGAAGTGGAGCAACCAGGATATAAACCAGCACACATATGGGATCCTGGCACATGCAAGGCAAGGATTTAGCCACTAGGTTATCATGCCAGTCCAATAATTATTCTTTTTCTTTTTTTTTTTTTTCTTTCAAACTGGAAAGGCAGATACACAGAGAGGAGGAGAGACAGAGAAGAAGATCTTCCTGGGAGTGAACTGGAGCCATGGATGATCCCAAGCCAGCAGCCAGGAGCTTCTTCCTGGTCTCCCACGCAGGTGCAGGGTCCCAAAGCTTTGGCCTGTCCTCGACTGCTTTCCCAGGCCACAAGCAGGGAGCTGGATGGAAAGTGGAGCTGCTGGGGTTGGAACTGGCACCCATATGGGATCCCAGCACATTCAAGGCAAGGACTCTCTGCTACTCTATCGTGCCGGCCCGATAACTGTTCTTTATAGTTGGAGTCAAGTGTCAAGTGAGTTTCTTTTTTTTTTCTTTCTTTCTTTCTAATGTGGTCCAATGAAAGTTGTCACCCTCCTGAAAGATGCACGAATAAATCCTAAACCAGTAATACAGAACAGTCCCACTCCGCATATCACCCCAACACACACACACACATACAGTAAAGAGAATGGCAAAGAAAATCCGCACTGCTGAACCAAGGCAAGAAGAAACGCATTCATTTCAAGACAGGACAACATTCAAGACAAGAGAGGCAGCGTTTTAATACACCAACCACCGGCAGAGGTCGCAGCCAGGCACGGCTGGGCTCGCAGCAGCGGCATCCTCCGGCAGGCCGGCTGAGCGGCTGAGCGTCCTGCCGACCAGCTCCCGGGCCATTTGTGTGCACCCCTGCAGTTTGAGAAGCGCTGAGCAAGAACGTGGATTGATGCAGGGGTCTGTGCTTGCGTTGTGCTTTAAGGGCACCCACTGAAAGCACCTTTTAGTTCATGCTGAGCTCCAGTTTCTCTTCCTCTGAACAACATTAGTTTTTGTTGCAGCCCTGGGCACCCCCAGCTTCTCTTGTAAGTCACAACATCAGAAAGCCTTTCTGTAGGTGGCCTTTATACAGAGTTATCACTTGGATCCCAACACTTCCATCAGCTGATTCTTGTGTCGAACCCACAGGATGTAGGCTGTAAGATTATTTCTGTTTTTAATGGTGATGAAACAGAGAGGGTATGGCGGAGGAGGGAGTGGTGTCTAGGGAAGTTTCATGAGGCACCCAAAGGGTACCAAGCAAACTGGTACCCCAGCCAATATGGAAGGCTCACTAACTTTGTGGTGCCTCTTCCTAAGGTAATTAGAGATTTTAAGGAAGAACACATTCCTGGGCGTGACCTGCTGAACTTGAACCATGCTGCACAGGCTCCAGGGAACACGGAAGCTTAGAAAAAAGTGTTGGTGGAGAGCAATGTCAGGAAGGCCCTGCCCGATCTCCCATGGCCAGAGGACCAGGAGATCGGGTAGCTGGCTCACAGGGGCTGGGAGAGGAAGCACCAGGGATTACATGAGGCCATCACAGCTGTGGAGGGGAGGTGGTGACGTGCAGATGACAACATCCCATTCCTGGGAAGGAGAAAGCTTCATCCTCAGCTGTTTCTTTCCCTGGCTCAGAGGAGCTGGTATTGCTGGCTGTGCAGTGCGCACAGTCAGTCACATGTCCTGGGAGTGAACTGGAGCCATGGATGATGCGACAATAACCACGATTGTGCAGCTGGCATCGAGGCCCGTGTGTCTCTTCCTACCTTGTTGGAATTTAAGGTTTTCTCTGCCAGGCCCCTCCAAAATAAGCCCCTCAGCGTAGCGATAGACCTTGGGTTTACCAGCGGCTGCCCCTCCTCTCCAGACGTGCAGATCCAGTAAGACACAGCTTGGATATACGTGCAAATCACCAAAACCATGCTGCACTTTCAAAGCCCTTGTAAAAAGTATTGCTTTTCTAATTGTGCGCCTGCTACACGGGGTTCCAGAGGGAGAGGGCGCTCATGAGTAGTTCAAGGCGGAAGATGTTTAGGATTCTTGGACAACTTCGATGTCTAGCCCACACGCCCCACCCCGCTCTAGAGCCTGAGTTGGGGTGGGGCTTGGCCTGAGGCACGGGCTACAAAGCATCCTAAAGAGAGGAATATACAACAGGAATGTGTGTGCCTATTTGACATAGCTGCTTCTCTGCAGGGGCGGCCCCTGGCTCTGACCCCTGTCCTCTGCGAGGGCGGGCGGGGAGGGGGTCCGGAGAAGGAGCCTTTGTTCTCCTGGCTGGTTCTTCTGTGCTCCCTACAGCTCCAGGGACCTGCCCTGCTCGGCGTGGGCTCGCAGAAGCTCTGCTATTTCCACAAGGCCAGGGGATTGCAGCGCGATGGACAAAGCTGTGCGGCCAGCCTACAGGGAGGAGAGGGAAAGCACTGTTAGGCTCTCTGCTGCCCTGCCCAGCCGAGAAGGGGCGACTGAGGGTAGAGGGTATGACTGAGGACTGGGGTGGGGTATCTTCCTAGGATCCAGAGACCCCAAGAGAGGAGGAGAGTCAAGCGATATGGAGATTGCGAAGCCACCCCTCCACCCCCGAAACAGCATTCACTATGGGGACTGGACTGATACAGAGAAGGGCCATGCTCTGTGTGTGTGTGTGTGTGTGTGTGTGTGTGTGTGTGTGTGTGTGTGTTTTCTTTTTTAATTGAAAACCAAGGGACTGGGCTGTGACATGACAGCCTGAGCCTCCACCTGCAGTGCCAGCATCTGATGTAGGTATTAGTGTTAGTACCAGTGCTGCACTTCAAATCCAGCTCTTTGCCAATGTGCCTGGGAAAGAAGTGAAGAATGGTCCAAATTCTTGGGCCCCTGCACTCTTCGGCAGTGCTGGAAGAAGCTCCTGACTCCTGGCTGGAAACCGGCACAGCACAGGATGCTGCAGGCATTTGGGGAGTAACGGCGGATGGAGGAACTCTCTATCCTTCCTTCTCCCTGGTACTCTGCCTTTCAAATAAAAATAAATACATCTTTAAAAGTGAAAATCAGAGGAGGGAAAGTAACTTCCTATTGCATCCACAGACCTAACTAAAAGTTAATATTTGAGTAGATTTCTTTCCAATCTGTTCTCCTATGCAAATTTATTATTGTTTTTAAAATAGAGAAATGACTATGATATGACTCTGAATATCTGTTTTTAAACTTGACATAGTATACTGCAAGATTTTTCCTTGCTCTTGTGAAGTTATCATGATACATGATTTTTTTGACCACATATTGTTCCATAATTTACTGTGCATTTTTTACTTCTGCTGGAGACTTTTGCTTGCAAAAGTTATAAATTTAGTGCAAGAAAGTATCTTTCCATTTTTAACGATTTCCCCAGGGCTGACCCAGACACGGCTCGCAGCCTTGAGGTACATGCACACCCATAGCACCTGCTGCATGATGTCATAGTGCTTTTGAAACCAGCTACATGAGCCCTGCACAGGTTTCCCATTGACTCCAAAATCCAAAAGTCTCCTGCTGTGTTTCCCATTCCTTTCCCCAAACAAATCCTCATTTAAAAATGATTTATTTGAAATATGGAAAGAGAGACAGAGATAGCTCCTGTCTGTGAGTTCATTGCTGAAATGCCTGCACTACCCAGGGTGAGCAGACCAAAGCCTGGAGCCAGGAGACTGTCACTCTCACATGAGTGGCAGGGAGGCAACTGCTGGGACACCACCTGCTGGCTCCCAGAAAGCAGGTTAACAAGAAATTAGAATCAGGAGCTCAGTAGGGACTTGACCCCAGATATCTGCTATGGGAGGTGCAGGGTTCCCCAAACTAACTCCCTCCCCTGTGCATAGGCACTAGCCAAAAAGGGCAGATTATTAAGTTGCTACTTAAGAGTTAATTTTTTAAAACAAACTTTAATATTTAAAATATTCGTTTCTTTATTTGAGGCAAAAAGGGAGGGAGGAGCAGGAGAGGGAACTCTCCCATTACGTGCCTGCCACAGCCCTCGTTGGGACTGAAGCCTGATGCTAGAGACTGGTCCAGGACTCCTGAGAAATCAATGGCAGCAACCCAAGTTCCTGAGCATCATCTGCTGCCTCCCAGCAGCGTTAGCAGGAAGTTGGAATCAAGAGCTGGAGCTGGGACTTGAACCTAGGCATTCCAATGTGGGGCAAGGCATTTTCACTGTTACTCCAAACAGCTTCATCGCCAAGCTGTTCTAGAACGGTTCTAAAGCTGTTCTGACCAGACCGAGACTGGTCAGTGGAGGTGTGTAAATCTGGTGGGGACACCGGAGAAGCCAAAGTCGGGGAGCAAGCAGAAACAGAGCAACCCATCTGCTGGCCAGATGTGCTTTCCTCATGTCCATCCTCAACATGGTCCTGCCACATGAGAGGCTATCCTGGGACTGTGTCCACATTCATCCAGACTTTGCCTTCCTGACTCCACCCTCCTGATCTGCCACACAGAGTCGGGTATACTCACTGCCTCCTCTTCCCCACACCTTGCTGACTGCACCTCACAAACCTTTCTTCTCTCCAGACCACATCACCAGTAAGCTTAGTGCACACGGAATAGCCAAGCTACCTGATTCAGTGGCACCTTTGGCACATGCCAGAAATGGGCAGTCCTGCCGTCTCAAGAAGCTGCCCCTTGCCTAGCAACCCTGATGCTGGCTCTCCATGACCCTTCCTTAGCTGGGGGAGCATGTGGTTGCATAAGGCTCAAGAAAGACAAAAGGCCTTGGTGGGTGAGAGATCTGGACGCCCACTTACTGTTCTCAACTCTGCTCTCTAAGTACAGCAGTGCCCGCTGTATGGTGACCAGCTCTTTCACAGGAGCAGGGGAGGCACTCACACGCAGCTCTCCTGGATGTCAGGCCCAGGCTATGCCAACATTACGGGATTCACTTATGGTCTGTTCTATTTGCTGACTCATGGATGACCACATGGAGGGTCAGAGTGGTTAGGTAGCCACCCCCTTGTCCTGCTTCCTGCCAGAAGAGACCAGTCACAGAGCCTGTATTCAAACTCCTGCATGTTTCATGAGAAGCCCAAGCTTCCAACAGTCATTACTGAACTGTCACAGGGGCTAGCTGCTCTCCTGCTTCCAGACAACACCCATGCACTCTCTCTGCAGGGGCCCCAGGACTGAGGCTCAGTCTTTAATCTTCAGGGACTTTGAAAGCATGATCTTGTCTGGCCCAGGCCTTTCCTCTCAGGTCTTGGGCAACAGCGGTGGGCACACCTAGGATGGCCCTGGGCCTTGGATGGATAGCCTGGTCCAAATGAAGGGCAGCCTCCTCCTTGCCCCCACATATCCCATCTGAGCAGCTAGGGAAGCTCTTCTTCCCAGCAGCCCGTCTGTTCCTTGGTGAGCCCAACAATGACTTTGGGGCACAGCTGGGAATCTCAGGACCTAGAGACCCAGCTGGGAGCCTGCTGTCCAGATGTGAACATATGTCACACAGCAGCTTCAATCGCTGCTGAAACAGTCTTAGGAAAAGATGTAGCATAGTGAAAGGTATTGTCCTTCGTCAGAGAAAGGACTCACTTCCCTCTTCAAAGCTTTTACTCCTTTTGAGTTGTGGGTGCTAAGACAGTACAAGGAGGTGGAGCAGAGTGATGGTACAGAAGCTGAAAACATTGCCTGTGATGGTAGCATCCCATATGGGCTGTGGTACACGCCTCTCCTGCACTACTTCCAATCCAGCTCCCTGCTAATGTGCCTGCAAGTACAGTGGAAAATGGTCCCTGCCATCCATGTGGGAGACCTGGATGGAGTTTCAGGCTCTTGGCTTTGGCTTGGCTCAGTTCCAATCCTCTCAGCCATTTGGAGAATCAACTTACAGATCGTATGCTCTCTATCTTCCTGTTTCCTTTTACCTCTCTCTATCCCTGCTTTTCTAATAAAGGAATCTTATTAAAAAAATAATAAAGAAAGGGTAAGGAAGAGCAGGTGTGTGTGGTGCAGTAGCTTTGGGTTCCACTTGAGTTTGACTGCTCTTCAGCTTATGATTCAGTGTCCCATATCCTGCTAACAACTGTCCTGGGGGACAGCGGATGGTGGCCCCACTGCTCCACTCCCTGATGCCCCTGCAGGAGGCACCTGGCTTATTTCTAGCTCAACCCCAGCTGTTTCAGTATTTGAGGAATGAATCAGTGGATAAAAGATCTATGTTTTGTTGTCTCTCTGTCTTTCAAATAAAACAGAAAATAGTAACACGGGTAAAGATGTCTATCTAAAGACATGAAGCAACAGTAAAACTGTTGTATGGAGTCAGACTGAGCCTTGAGTTCCTGCTCTGAGGATTAGCAGCTGCTACTCAGAATATGACATAGCAGGTAGGCTGCCATTTCTTTGTTGGTGACAATGTCCAGGGTACAATGCCTAGCTAGCTGGATCACTGGGATTACAGGTAACACCTAGAGAAAGCTCTGCTCCCCTGAATCTGTAGGCTTAGCCCTCCCGTAGCAGTAACCAGGAGCAGCAGCATTTGCTATGCCTGCTAAGTCCTCCACTGATGTGTGGCAGGGAAGAGGGACTTGGCAGGCAGGCAGAGACATGGATATGCCCACAGGACAACAAAGTTGATGATGGAGCAGACTAGAGTCACGACTCGGGAGCTGGACAGGGCTGGGATCCACTGGCTATGGGATCGTGGGTTTGTAGCTTACCAAGTCGATCTCTGAGTTTCCTTGAGCAAAATGCAACAGTAGTTCATTAAACCTCCCAAGGTCATTGTGGGCCTGAAATGCATTGCGATCGTTTCCTGCATGCCTGACACAGAGCATGCATGCCCTTGATACGTTATTATCCTCAGCATTAGCATCATCACCTCCCACGTGGATGATGTAAGAGACGTGGGTCTAGCAGCACAATTCCACACTGGCTTGGATCCCTCCATGAAGTGGCTCATAAGGTGACTGTCAGGGTGGGATATTTCCAGAGTTGTGACCACTGATATGACTTGGGAATCTGGGATCCTTCATCTGCATCCCCAGGTTCCTGCTGCTTGCTCACCCAAGTCACAGCTGCAGAGCCCATGCCCTGTTATTGCCATGACAACAGGGTACTCAAGGTCTCCTAGGACACTACTGTGAAAGGATGGGGCTGTGTATTCTCTACTTCTAAACCTCCAAGAACTTACCATGCATCATCCCATTAAATCTTACCACAGCCCAACAAGGATGGTTTCATTGCTTATGCCATACGGTTTTTAAATTCTGCTCTCAGGCCAGGTGCTTTTTAGGCCTGCAAAGCACCCTTATTTAGCCCCTTAATTAGTAAAACACCTGTAAATTTCACCTTGTCTGTCAGATTGCTGTCACAAGCTGGGTGTGCCAGGAGCAGCCGCACCAGGTCGGTGTTGCCATGGTGACAGGCCAGCATGAGGGCTGTTGATCCATCATGGTCCTGCAGGTTGACGTCTGCTTGGCAGTTCAGGAGGGCTTGTACCATGTCCTCCCGGTCGTGGCTGACTCCCAGCATCAGTGCAGTCTGGCCCCCCTGCATGCAAAGCCACAGGGATGTGGTGAAATTGTTGCTAATAGGCAAGGGCCCTCGCTAGTCTGGGTGGTCACAGCAAAGCCTTCACAAGAAAAGGGGCATGGATCTGAATCTCCTCTGCCCTTGGCATGGGACACAACCTTCTCTGCCCTGCAAACATCTGTTCTTCCAAGATGCTAGTTTAATGCTGTCTCCTCCCCAAATCTCTCCCTGCCTCCCCAGGCTCAGGATCCATCCCACAGCACTCACCCCCTTCTCATGTGTTGTGACACTGCTGCTGGTAGGAACTATGCCTTTTGTGTCCCTGTCTCTGAGTGCCTAGCACCATGATGAGGGTTGACTGGTGGAACAGAGGAAGGTTGAACGCTTCAACATCTTGACTTCTGTTGTGGTTTGTCTCTGGTGTGGGTGCGTCCCTTGGGAGTTCAGGGGCTGGCATGTAAGTCCCAGGGTGGGGATGTAAGATGGAGACGGGAGGCCTGGTAGGGAATAAGCAGGACATTGAGAGCGCTGCCTTTGGGAGGTGTGAGCACTGGTGTCTTGGACGGGGGTTTTATTAAAGAGCAATGTGTGGCGGTAGTAAGTTTCTTGTTTATAAGTCACCTGTTGTTCAATATTTCACATATTTCTTCTTCCACATACTGTGGATATTTGTTTATTTTCATGCAGCCCTTTCATGCAACTTTAATACATCTGCCCTCATGATTCTCCAGGGTTCCAGAAAAGTCAGGCTTAGCTCTCTGACTGGGCATCAGGCTTTGTCAGGCTACAAGGGCAAGGGCTCTATTCTCTTTCCTCTCTGATTCCCCGTGGCTTGCACGTAAAAAGCGCTGACACCTATTTGTTGGGATGCTGGTTAATTAAAACGGCAATCTACTGTTATGGAAGGGTGGTGCTTCCCTGTGCTGGATGCTGAACAAAGCAGCAGGGTTGGAATCAAACACCTTGGTTCTGCCATGTGGCGAATGTACAAGTTAACCGTTCTGTGGTCTTGCCTGGTCTGGAAAAAGGAGAATGGCTCATAGCGGGAAATCCTCACTGGACAGTGGCAAAGCCCAGGGGTACATAGTCTAGGTAAGTGTTGGCTATCATGAGTATTTGGAAGGGTAGAGACAGTACCCAACAAACGCCCAGCACATTACTGGTACCCAGTATGTGGGTACATAACAGCAGTTTTTAAAATGTCCCTGGAAAGTATATAGGGTTAAGCTGCCACCCACAGGGCCAGATCTTATAGAGACACCACTTTGAGTCTTGGCAGCTCCACTTCTGACCCAACTTCATGCTAATGTGCTCGGGAAAGCAGTGGAAGATGGTCCAAGCACTTGGGCCGCAGAATCCATATAGGAGATCTGGAAAAAGTTTCTGATTCTTGACTTTGGACCAGCCCCGTTCCAGCCATTGGGGCCATCTAGAAAATGGACCAGTGAACAGAAGATATCTTTCTGTCTGTCTCTCCCCTTCTCTAACTTTGCTTTTAAATAATTTTATTTATTTATTTATTTGCTGTGTGTGTGTGTGTGAGATTGCTTTTTTTAAAATAATTTTTTTAAAACGTGCTCAGAACTTATGCATTCTCCTAAAGTTGGACAAAATCATCCAGCACAAATTCTATTTTTAAAATTGTTCATGGAATATGTATACCAAGAAAACTATGCATGAACTTTAACATTTTTTTGCACCAAAATCTTTTTAAAAAATCTTTTAAATTTATTCATAAGATAGAGAGATAGAGTGACAGAGACGGAGCTCTGTTGTTTACGTTTACTCCCTAAACGCCTGCAACAGCCAGAGCGGCCAGGCCCACACCAGGAGCCTGCAAGCCAGTCTGGGCCTCCCATAGGGGTGGCTGGGATCCAGGCACTTGAGCAACCTTAATCCAAGTTGTGTATCAGCAGGAAGCTGGGATTGGAGGTGGAGCTTGAACTTGAACTCAGGCCCTTGAATGTGAGATGCAGGTGTAACAAGGGCCGGTTTATTGTTGCTCAAATGCCCATCTCTAAACTTATTTTTTAACCTGATTGTCCATGAATGCTTTGAAAAACCTTCTTATTAATTGCTGTAGCTTCCTACCTCTCTGGAATGCTGACAGATTTTTTCTGGAGAAATCTACTTGCTTTCTGGTTTGCTTATACTCAGCCTAGAGAGAATGGGTATTTACTGGACTGAACAGCCCAGTTTCCATTCACGTTGCTCTCTCTGGTACATTCAAGTGACACAGGGCTAATGCTCTGCATGACTTAAGGCCCTTCCATCCTCACCTTCCTTCCGGCCCAGCTCAATACAATTTATTTCAAGGATCATTTACAGAGTGCTGCTGTATGGCAGGGACTGTTTTCTATAGAGTTCAAGAGTTAGTATGGCAGGCATTGCTCCATAGAATGCAAGAGCGTTAAGGAACTGACCCCTAGGGAGTCCCAACTCACTTCCTGTTTAACTTGGCCCCTCTGCCTCTTTTGCAGGTAAAGGCCCCAGGGGGAGTGGGAGGAAAAGCTGCACCAACGCATGCTCCTTTTGTCCTTTTTGAGCTGGGATGGTCATATGTTTCCTTCTCTATGAAAGGAAGGGGCTGATTTCAACACCGGTGAGCAGATCCTCTTGCAAGAGGACCTGTGTAGTAGACAATGAATATGTGCATGGGAAACACAGAATTTCAAATGAAAATGGCTGTATAGAGTCTTCTGGAATAGGAATTGTAGGTGGCAGAAAATGCCTTGAAAACCAGGAAGTGTTCTATGTATCTATTTCCTGCCATCAGCGAGACTGCCAAGAGGTGAAGCTGAGATTCATCAGGCTGGGCTGATGTCTGCAATCACTCTGAAGGAGTGTGGGACAGACTGAGATCAGTCTACTCGTGGATCGAGCAGTCACTAGAACTCTATAATAACCCCGAATGGCACTGAGGCTCCCTAGGGAGGAGGGCTTGTTAGAGCCCTTGTGGCTGACCAGAAACAGCTCCTGTCTATCTGAGAGCCACACCTCTTCTCCACCAGGCTACAAACTCTGGGCTGTTAAAAGGCTTTGGTGAAACATGGGAGACCGGGGAGACACTCCTGGCTCCTGGTTTCAACCCGGCCCCACCCTGGAAGATGGTGAGATTTGGAGAGTGAAGCAGTAGATGGAAGATCTCTTTATCTCTCTCTTTTTACTCTCCCACCTGCATCCCCTCATCTGTCTCTCTGTTACTCTACCTTTCAAATAAATAAATACATATATTTTTTAAAGGATTTGTATGCAAGATGGGAAGACAGACACCTTTAAGGAACGGGCCCTTTCAGCAGGCCACCTTTCAGCAGGATGCTTGTGGGTCATAGTCAAGGTAAATAGGAGCTTTCCTAGAACAACCAACCCGCATCTGTCTCTTCAAGATGCTCTTAGGAATGTTTGGTCCAACAAGCCAAGTCCAGCTGGGATTTTCCCAGTTTTAAATCACGCCCACATCACCTACCTGGGTAGCCTGGATGTTCACATTTCCCTCTCGTAAGAGCTTCCAGACCACAGCCATGTCTTCATCAGTCTCTGCCAAAGCCAAAGGTGTGATCATCACGGCAGTGTAGCCAGCTTTGTTCTGATGGTCCACATTGCAGACACCTGCAAGAGAAACAGCAGGTGTTGGGACAGCTCCCCAGGGCCAAAAGCCAGACTCCACATTAGCCAGTTCAACAGCACATTGGCTGGAAGACCATGAGCTAGAGCAGCCTTATTGCAGTGGTAGAGCATTGGTCTACATTTTTAGACAATTCTCTTCTATATTTCCTGAGATATACCGAGACAGGGAGTCTAGCTGCAAGGCCAGAAATGCCAAAGTCGGCCAATGACTGTGACTTGTATTTCCTAAATGTGCACAAGACACTAATCTCACCAATGAGGCCACCTAGGATCAAGAAAGGTACATAAACTGTCCATGTGAGGGTGAGGCGGGACCGGGTCTTAGGTGTGTCTGGCTGTGGAGTCCTGGCACATGTGGTCACCCACAGATGAGCATCACAGGGCTCATACTCAGTGTCTCATGTGCTCAGTTGATGGCTGCGTTGGTGAGGTCCTTTCCAGGAGTTAGTGTTCTGCTCAGCACTACATCTGGGTAAGAAAAACACTGCAGTGGGAATATGGGGAGTCAGGGAACTAGCTCTCACTTGGAAAGCAAAGGGAGAAAAAACCTCCAAAAATTTTCAAAAAGATTTATTTGTTTTTATTGGAAAAGCAGATTGACAGGGAGAAGGAGATAGGGAGAAGAGAAGATCTCATGCACTGATTCACTCCTTCAAATGATTGCAATGGCCAGAACTGAGCTGATCTGAAACCAGGAGCCAAGAGTCTCTTCTGGGTCTTCCATGTGGGTGCAGGGTCCCAGGGCATCGAGCCAACCTCTACTGCTTTCCCAGGCCACAAGCATGGAACTGGAAGGGAAGAAAACGAACCAGTGGGATGCCTGCACTTCAAGATCAAGGAATAGCCTGTTGAGCCATGATTCCAGCCCATCATTTTCATATTAAAGAAGTTATGAACACATTTTTCACAAGATGAAAAGCTGGCATATTTTGAGATGAAGTAGAAAGTAAGAATACAGAAGAAATTCCTACTATATTTATTCCTGGCAATAAACACTTATGTCCCTCTCCACCCAAGGATAGAAAGGGAGGAGATTAGACACCCCGTAAATCCTGGCTACTCCTTTTCTGATCCAGCTCCCTGCCAATGCACCTGGGTAAGCAGTGGAAGATAGCCCAACTACTTTGGGCTTCTGTTAGCGATATGGGAGACTGGATGGAGTTCTAGCTGGTCTAGCTCCTTTGACCTGTCTTAGCTCTAGCTACTGTGACCAGTTGGGGAGTAAACCAGCAGATGGGAGATCTCTCTCTCTCTAATTCTGACTTTCAAATAAATAAATAAATATTAAAAATAAATAAAGCAACCACAGACCAAAGCTGGTCTGTAAATGACCCCAGATCTCAAGGGCAGTATTGTGAGAAAAACAAGTCCTCCACATATCACTGCTTACCCCAGGGAACCTATGTGGCTCTATAGGGCAATAATCAAAGTTCCTCTGTGGGTCAAGACAGCTGGCCTTTCTCAGCATTTCTCCTCTGTGAAGTGGGGACACTAACAGAAGCCCCTTGCAGCGTGACTGTGAGTTTACTGAGTTAGCACACTGCACTGCATACAATGAGCACTCCATACATGTTAACTGTCATTACTGTTATTCAGAATGACATTCTTGTGGAATTAAGTATTCGTTACAACAAATCTGGTCTATGAAAAAATTACAAGCAGGATTATGTACAAGTTCTTTGCAAGGCGAAGAAGGCCAACATTGATTTGAGGTCCCCTCTGCCCTGTCATTTTGCAGAAATGTGTAATGGTGCTACCAAGATGCCAGTGGGCAAAGTGGAGTCAGTATGGCTTGTTCGCCTGCAGTTTTCTCTCGAGGCCCCCAACCACTATCATAATTAGATGCAAATGCAGTAATAATTCCTGCATCACCTTCTGATGAAGCAGTGGTAGCTGTACTGCCTTGCTTCCCCGGACTCCCCTAGGCTTGCCTTGAAGATGTGCAAACAAGCCTCAGGCTGCCAGTTCCCTTTCATCTCTTCAGAAAATAGACTCGCATCTCACGTGGCAAAGCACAGTCTGCTCCTCTATAGTAGTGAAATAAAGGACGGAGCACTGAAGATGAAGCCCGTGGCCTTGCTGTCGTCACAGACCACAGCTGCACAGCCCTTTACAGTCTGCAGCAAGCTTCCTGGCTGCTTTGCAACTGCCCTCACAAGCAGTCCAGGACTGGGAAGGGGACAGGTCTGTCATCGTGACACCTATTCTGTGCAGGACAGGGAGGAGTGGAGCCTCCAGCCAACTCTCCCCAGCACCCACCACACTCCATGCTTGTGGATCTTCAGCTGCTATAGCGGACTCAGGGGAAGCCTCCCAAAGCAGCAACGTCTAGCAGCCACATCTTCGGTTGTCCCCCTGGCCTGAGCCACTTATATCTTCTAACAAGTTTATGAGCAACTTGGGCCCAGCACAATGGTTCAGTGGTTAAATCCTTGCCTTGTATGTGCCAGGATCCCATATGGGCTCCAGTTTATGTCCAGGCTGCTCCATTTCCCATCCAGCTCTCTGCTTGCAGCCTGGGAAATCAGTGGAAGACAGCCCAAGTGTCCTTGGGCCCCAGTACCTGTGAGGGAGACTCAGAAGAAGCTCCTGGCTCCCAGCTTCAGATGGGCTCAGCTCCAGTTGTTGTGACCACTTGGTGATGGAAGATCTCTCTCTCTCTCTCCTTCTTTCTGTATATCTGCCTTTTCATATAGGATCTCAGTGAGTGCAAGGCGAGGATTGAGTCACTAGGTTATTGCGCCGGGTCCCTGTACTGCCTCTTAACACTCTCTGGGGTTTGACTTGCCTCTCCTTCCTCTGCCTCCACCTTGGAGGAATAAGCAGCCAGCACCTTACCTAAGCTAGCTTCACCTGCCTCGATGGAGAAGCCCAGACTTCTTCAGACCCTTCAAGACCTTGCTCCATTAAGTAGCTTCTCTTTTTTCTATCTTTTGTATCTGTCTCTGTTTTATTTGATCTCTCATTTTGTCTTGCTTTGTTTCCATCATTATGTTTTTCTCCCTCTTGTGTGTGTTTTTTTTTTTTTTTTTTAGATTTATTTACTTTTATTGGAGAAGCAGATTTACAGAGAGGAGACAGAGAGAAAGATCTTCTGCCTGCTGGTTCACTCCCCAAATGTCTGCAATGGCCAGAGTTGAGCCAATCCAAAGCCAGGAGCTTCTTCTGCTTCCTCTCACACAGGGTCCCAAGGCTTTGGGCCATCCTTGAATGCTTTCCCAGGCCAGAAACAGGGAGCTAGCTGGATGGAAAGTAGAGCAGCTGAGACGAAACAGCACCCGTTTTGGATCCTGACACATGCAAGGTGAAGATTTAGTCACTGAGCCATTGTGCCAAGCTCTCGGGTTCTTGCTCTTTGTCCACAAGCATCTCTTACACAAACACCTGCACTGACGCCCTGGTACCTTCCCAAGAAGTACAAACTGGATCGTCTGACTCTTCAAATCTGCTGGGCTGTGGCTCTAACCTACCTTGCTAGCCTTGGGTCGCAGCCCACCCAAGCCAGAAGCCTTCTGCTCTTCGGGAGGTATTCTCTCCCCAACTTGGACATTTTTCTGTCTGCTGGAAACACACTTGCTCCAGGCCACCTTCATTGCTCTCAGCACTGCACATGAGCTTGCTTGTTGTGAAGCCTTAAACCACATCCTGGCCCTCCCTGAAGAGCCACAATTTCCACTTGGTGGGCTGTCTGTGCTCCCGGGAGTGGGGTGGGGGGGCTGCCCCCTGATGTGGTGGCCAGTGGGGTGACCTCACATGTAGGCAGTTAACACCTGGTGGAGCATGGAGAATCCAATTGGTCAGACGCATGGCCTTTTATAAAATGTCTCTTACGGACACAGGAAGGCCAGGTTTTTCTCTAGTGCTCTGCAGCCAGACAGACCCGATTAGACCCTCTCATCAGCAGTACCATGACCCAAGAACGTTCTGTCAGTCTCCAAGCGTCTGTTTGCTCAGCTGTAACATGAGAACAACAGCACTCCTGAGTCCATCACGGGAGTGCTGGAGTGAAGAGATGATGCAATAGAGCAGAACAGCCTGGCCTGGTTCCCAGAGTACAGGAGGCGCCTGTGATAGGGAGTGATTTCCTGGCCCGTGGGAGTGTGACATGAGAATCTCTGTGCAGGCAGGGGCCCAGCTCGCACCCAGGCAGCCCCCACTCCTGACCTGTATCCAGCAGCAGCTTCACCACGGGGAAGTTGGCATGGGACACGCTGTAGTGAAGGGCCGTGTTGCCATTGTGGTCAGCCAGGTTGACAAGCAGCTTCAGGAGATGTGGAGACAGAGGCTGTACTCCAAGGAGGTAGGCAGCCACCACTGCAGCGTTGGACGACTTCCGGCTGGAAACACGGAACCACTCCTGGCTGATGGCGTTCAGGCTCTGCCTCTGGAACCCCAAGAGAGTCCAATGCCAAGGGGTTCCCAGTCTGAGGTGTCCCGGCCAGGGCTCCTTTCTGGTTGCTCCCAGCTCCGTCCCTCCCCTCTCCTCTGCTGATCTGTGGGATATATTCTGGTTTCTAACATCCTCTCCTTGACCCTCACAGTAAGCCTACTTGACCTTACTTGCCGAGACTTAACTGGGACCTCGTGTGCTTTTACTAGACAGATACTGGGAGGTCGCAGCATTTTACAACTAAGAAAAACACATGCTGACACCCAATTTATGATTAAACAAAACTAAAAGGATGTGCTTTAGTTGTTTTCAAAGTGTAAGGACTGCTTTCTTTCTTTCTTTCTTTCTTTCTTTCTTTCTTTCTTTCTTTCTTTCTTTCTTTCTTTCTTTCTTTCTTTCTTTCTTTCTTTCTCTTTCTTTCTTGTTTGAGGACTGCCATTTGCCAGAGCAGCTGAAAGGTAATCATCAAAATGGGGGGAGGGCAAGTCCCAAGCACTGGTTTCACTCCAGGGCTCTTGGACAAAGACAATGACCGGGGTTGTTAAGGTGCTTCTGGTTGTTCCATCCCAGGGCCGTCAGCTTCTATGTAACTTGGGAAAATACAACTGCGCCAGTATCTTTAGTCTAAAAGGAGACCTCAAGCTCGCTAGAGAGGGGTTGCCTAGGACTTGCTGCTTATTGATAGTGACACTGAGGGCATGGACAGTTAACTGACCCACCCTGATTCTCATTGATGAGAGGCCTGGGAGTAGAACTCACAGTGTCCGTATCATGTGCGTGTTTCATTCCCCCACGAGAAACCATGGGACAATGTGGAGCTAAAACCACAGAGGTTGACAACAAACACTCAGGGCGATGCCCAACAACTGGGCAAATATCCCCGAGCTCCTCCCTGGCCTGCTGTCTCGTGCAAATGAATTGCTTCCCTAACCCCCCTCCTCCCTGCATAACACTCCATTGTGGTAGCAGCACCCGGGGGCCTCTTGTATGCACACTCCCAATGCTGATAAGGCAGGGACCAAGCTCACCCAAGTGGAGCTAAGGGGCTAAAGCAAATGTCAGTGAAAAATCCGAGTACCGGAAGTCCGTCGGTGATGGTCCCGGTCTCTGACAGGTGTTGGCTCAAGGCCCGGCAGGCAGTAAGAAACTCTTCTGAGGGTTGATCCCTAAAGAAAACAGGCATATGCACTTATACAGATACCCTCCTTGTTGACTTTTTGGGAAGATTTATTTTCATTTGAAAGGCAGAGTCTTAGAAACAAGGACAGACAGACAGAGTGAAAGAGAGATCTTTCATCCACTGGCTCATTCCTCAAACGGCTGCAGTAGCTGAAACTGGGCTGGTCTGAAATCAGGAGCCAGGAGCTTCTATCAGGTCTCCCACACAGACGCAGGATCCCAAGGCTTTGGGCCACCTTCCACTGCTTTCTCAAGGCTGCATTACTGGGGAACTGGATTGGAAGTGGAGCAACCAGGATTCAAGCTAGGGTACATATGGGATGCTGGTGTCACAGGCAACAGTTTAACCTACTATGCCATGGCACCAGGCCCCCTGGCATCTTTTTTTTTTTTTTTTAATGCTTTCGCTTTCAGTAGCTTGAATACCCAAACAGGGCAGCAACTACAGGACAGGGTAATGTCAGGAATCTGGGCTGCACACAGCATGCTGAGTGCACTCAGCTTGCAAGCCCTTCCTGAGAGCACTTGGCCTCTTCCACCTGAGCTGCAGGGGTGGTGGGCCCAGGCAGCTCCCGACATGCTGGGAAGTGGAGGGCTCTTTGCTGACCCTGAATGTTCTCCCTGAGTGACTAGAAAAATCCACAGCCTCTGAGCCATGCCAGCAACCTTTCTCCAGTTATTCTTGTGTGAAGGGCACCATGAGTAATCCCACAGCCAGCAGTACACAGATGACTGCTGCTAGAGGTGAGGCTGCAGTGACAAGTGCTCCCCCCCAGTGGGGATGACGGCAGACTCCCTTGGGACCACAAGGAATCAGTTACCACCAGGCCTGCCTTGCTCACACAAACCTTGTCTACACTGCTGTGGAAGAACACCCCTGTGGTTCAGCAACCAGGCTGGGGACAGCAACAACGCTAAGCGCACTGCCTAGCTTTATCCTCGCATGGACCGAGAGATTACTCTGTACCATTTTGCTTGCTTTTTCTCATACAGTTTCCCAATCAGACCAGCAGGTGACTACCATTATCAGCGATGTGTAACGCCTGGGGAAGCAGGGGCACTCTCTGCTCATAAGGATGCTTGTCCCAAGGATCACCATGCCAGGGGCAACACCTGAATCTAAGAGTCTGTGAAGGCAGCACCCTTCTTGTCTTTCTGGAAGGCCCTGTCACTGCTTTTAAAAACAGATTTAGATAATTTATTTGAAAGGCACATGATAGAAAAAGGAGTGCTCATTTCCTCAACTGACCGCAATGACCAGGGCTGGACTAGGCTGAAGTCAAGAGCCTAGAACTCCATCTGAGGTCCCATGGAGATGGCAGGTGCCTAAACACCTGGGCCATCTTCTGCTGCTTCCCCAGGAGCTTGATCAGAGAGACAGATCAGAAGCAGAGCAGGAACAACTTGAACAGGCACTCCAGTAGGGCATGCTGGCACCAAAGGCAGCAGCTTAGTCTGTTAAGTCCCATTGCCAGCTCACACTCTGTCACTTTAAAAGACAGAGTTGTGTCACTATGGCCAATGAGAGAGGCAGAAAAAAATGTGAATAAGAATCAAAAACACTTGGGCCAGAATCCCTGTTTTGTCAGTTGTGTCGCTTCACTGCTCTAAGCCTGTTTCTCCACCTGTGAAGTTTGAGCTCTGGTAATTTCTACCTTGCAGGATGGTTTGATGAGTTGTACTTGCTAATAGCTGTAAAGTCCTTCCTATTTCTGGTGCAAGGTAAACTGTTGGCTTTATATGCAGACTTCTGGCTGGGATGGCAATGTCCGTGAAAACAGCAGTTGCCTCTGTTTAGCTGAGCTGGGGCCTGGCATAGAACACTGGTGAATGCATGGGAGAATGAATGAGCAAAGGAACATAGGATGCAACCAGAGGCTGACCAAACACCCTGGTCTCTTTCAGAGAAACACGTGACTCACCTCTCAGCCTTGGCATGGGGGGCTTCTTCCCCAGGCCCCCTTTCCTGGCTGGCATTGCTGGTGTCCCCAGGAGCACCCTTCCCGGGCTCACAGCTTGAGTGGGCATCCCTGGCTCGCAGGTGCTCTGGACCATCACGCTTTCTCTCAGCCTCATTGTCAGACAAGTCCTCCGGGGAGCTGTCCTCACCACTGGTCTCCTCGCTGGAGGTGGTCTCGTAGCTGCAGAGGGAGACAAAGGGGCCTTGTCCCATGCCTGCTCAGTGCCCAAGTCCCCATCAAAGAGGACCAGGTGGGCCTTGGCTGGCCCTCCCTGGCCTGCCAAACACACCCTCCACTGTGGCCATTGCAGACAGGGGCATGGGAGATCCCAGGGACCTTAGGCTCTGAGAAGCAGGTGGCCAAGAGGTCTGGCTCGAGTGCTGGAGGTGGTCTGGGAAGAAGAGATAATGAACAGTATGCTTTTCAGCAAATGGATCAACAGCCTGGGCTGCAGGTGTTCATGTAAGCAAACAACCCTAGCTCTTACAGGATCATTTCCTTCTGGACTCCTCCCACCTTCTGAGTGCTCCAAGTGGTCTGGTGACACTTCATGTCTGTGGATAACAGGGACACCTCCCTGCAGCCCTTTTGCTACAGCCCAGCTCACACTAGGCATGAACTCAGAGATGCCCACTCCCCAACATGGCAACCACCTTTCTTAGCCACAGCAAAAGCGAGGACACAGGTCCCTGGGCTCGTGTCCCTTTCTCTGCCAGGAACACCCATATTCAAGGATAAGCAATTCCATGGGGGTGATCCAACAAGGACCACAGAGCAGAGTCTGGGAGATCTGCTGATTCCTCTGCTGGTGTCAAGAGGAGACCCTGATGGTGAGTGCTGGAGCGAAGATGGCGCTGTCAGGCCATGAGGCTACTGGACACAGCTACAGGCCCAGTGGCTGTGGCCTCCACCAAACTAGCAGAGGTTGTTTCTCAGAATAGGGGTCCTCAGATCCCCAGATTTGCACATCCACTTGCTCCTCTGTGTTCTCACATTCTAGCTGGCTCAAACCATGGCTATTTCATCCCGGCTTGTGCTTGGCATAGCCCTGGCTGTTGTGATGCTGAGAGTGAACACTAAATTACACTTATTCAATGGTATTCATCTTAGAATTGCTTCTGTAAAAACTTCACCTGGAAGTTCATTCATTCATTCATCCAACAGACATTTATTGTGCCAAGGATTGTTTTAAATGCGACACCCAAGTCCCTGCTGTTGGAGCTTACGGTGTCATAGGGAGAGGTGGGACACACATGGAAATACCTTATAGTCAGTGATAAGCATGATGAATACACGGACCAGGGCCATGAGATGGAGTGATGGCAGGAAGGGCTATTTTAGTTACAGCAAACAGTCTCTACTTTCATAGAAAGACCCCTGGGGATAGGGAGAATTTCTAATACTTGGCTGCACTCCACAGTTGCTAAGCTGGAGTCTTCAGGATTGGCACAGAGACACCAGGATTTTAAAGAACTTGCCTGGTGTTTCCAACATTTAACCACAGGGAAGAATTCCTGTCCTAGAGTAATAGATCCAGAGGAGAGGCCAGGAGAACCTGAGCAGACACCAGCTCCCTAAGAGAGGCCTGCACTCCGTGCAGTGGAGGGAAGGAGAGGAGATGGGAGGCAGCAGCTGCCAGTGGGGCAGGCTAAGGCCACCGGCTGGACCTTCCAGGCATGGATACAGAGTGGGGACAATTGCAGGTGTTTAAGCTGGGAGATAGGACCCATGCTCAGTTAATTTTTCTCTTTCCATGAATTGATGACAGCTCAAAACAGTACTGTCTCAGGCTACAGAGAGCCACATAGCTTGCCCAGGACAGCCTATTTCATCATGGCTGATATTTTCCCAACCATCACCTGGAACATTGCTGTCATCCCTTGCTTACAGCTGTTGTGACTTGAATGGGCAGGGCAGCCTCGCCAGCTGGGCTGGGCCCCTCCTTGTTGGGTTTCTGCAGCATCATGCTCCCTCATCTTGACAAGATCAGCATTTCCTACTTCTGTAGTATTCGTGAGCAGGATCTGTGAGATTTGGGTGCCCTCCCCTGCCCCCTCCTGGCACACTGCTGGCATTTAAAAAATGTTTGTTGAATGACCGATTTAAAAAACATTTCAAATCCAATATTCAGCTTTCTAAACATGCTAAGGCTTGGTTGTGTTCGAAGTCAACAGACTGCTGTGTTTTTCATCCCTCTGTGAAACAGTGGGGTTTGGTTTACAGTCAGTTAAAGGAAGAAAGGGATTGAATGGATGAAACGTGAAGTTCACTAAACAACGGGCTGGCCTCCTTTTAAGGCTGCGGTGCAGCTTAACTGCCTACCTCAAAGGACCCGTGGAGCCCCTCAAACCGAAGCCCCGGCCCTGAGGGGACCACAGTCAAGACATATTGAAAGCAGAGGTTTCCACAGACCAGCCCAGCTGGCAAGGAGCCAGATCTGCACGCCTGAAGGGGTGTTTTAAAAGGCCACTGAGATGAATTCCCGTGCAGAATGAGAACCAGATGCCTCCCCCTAGGAAACGGAAAGGCCACGGACAAGAGCAGGGCGGGCAGCAGGGGAGGCAGTTGGGGCTTCACAAGCGATGCTTACCCACCGTTAACCCCAACAAACTGAAGGTTCTTTTTGGTCCCATTACCTCCTGCACGGAAGCCATAGTCTTTCTTTTTCATAATGGATTTAAGGCTGGTCGACGGAGAGATCTCTAGGCAGACACAACATCACAGATTAGAAGGATCTCTGGGATACCTGGCACTCTGGCTTGCAGGGGAGAGAGGCTGCAGATGTATGAAGGGGACATGGAAACTGGATAATGTCAATTAAATGTCTGGGTTTTGAGGCAAGGTTAGCTTTCTGATCAGTGGCAGTAGAGCTGTTGGTGTTAGCAATGCCACTCTGCGTGTGGATCACAGAGGAGGGGTAGGGGACTGCTGGGACATTGGAGGTCCAGTGTCCCCCCTTCTCATGGGCACTCCAGCAGTCTCTTCCAGCTCACATGCAAGTTGACACTTGAGAAATGGGGGTAGCCACGACACTGTGCTGACATGGGATCAAGGGCACACATTTCCTTATGCTATGCTTGATGGTATGGGAGACCTTTCTCAATGAGCAGGACTAGAACCAGTGCGGGAACAAAGAAAATGCAGCCAACTTACAGTCTGTGGCTGAAAGCACACTTACACACTGCCCACTGAGCAAAGCGAACTACGGCCCCGCTTTCCTCAACAGCGAGGAGCATGTGCTGTGCTTACAGGGAAGGGGGCACAGCCCAAGGGCTGAGTTCCAAGTGTGTCTGGTTCAGTCTCTTTCCCTCTCTCTCTGACACACATACACACAGAGAGAAACTATTCAGTGGGCCACTGCAGATCTCAGGATATACCACAGTGCATCAAAGAGTTCATGGAAAAACAAAATTAAAAGTTTATTTTGGAGCAAAAATCTTTTGAAATCCACACATAGCTTTTTTATAATAGACATCTCCCATGAACTTTTAAAGGATTCCTTGTTCTTCCAAAAGCAGGCTACAGAACACTTGTAATAGATGAGAAAAACTGAGAAACCAAAGGAGTCCAAGTGCCTAGGAAACAGTGAGGGAAGGCCAGGGCTTGGAGCATGCCTGGCAGGGCCACGGGTGTCCTTTGTGTGATGCAAGGAACTAGTTTCTTCCGGGTGGATGCAGTACTGCAAGCAGGGCTAGGCAAATGGAGTGTGGGCTGGCTTTCTGTTTCATTTTGTCCTTCTTAGCAGGCATTTACACTATATGTACAGCTGCATGCATGTATACAGTGGTCATGTGCAACTGCAAGTGTGTATGCACTGTATATGAAACTTCAGGTGTGGGGATAGTATGGCGGTATAGTATGCTAATTCTCTGCCTACTAGTGCTAGCATCCCACATGGGCTCCAGTTGGTGTCCTGGCTGCTCCCCTTCCCATCCAGATCCCTGCTTGTGGCCTGGCAAAGCAGTGGAGGATGGCTTAAAGCCTTGGGACCCTGTACCAACATGGGAGACCCAGAAGAGGCTCCTGGCTTCAGATCGGCTCAGCTCTGACCATTACAGCCATTCAGGGAGTGAACCAATGGATGGAAGAACTCTCTCTCTCCATCTCTCCTTCTCTCTTCGTAAAATATGTCTTTCTAATAAAAAAAAAATCTTAAAAAATAGCTGCAGATGTGTACATACTGTACAAACAACTGAATGTATATATCCAGTATATGCATGCACTATATGCAAAACTGAACTATGAATGCACTACACACAATTGCATGTACCAAATGTACAACCACATGAATGGGTGCACAGTACATGCAACTGTATGTAGATACAGACAGTATGTATGACTGTGTATATGCATGTGCTATATATTTAATTGCATGAATATATGCAATATATGTATTTTATATACACAGCATGTAAGGTGTATTATATATACAAGTACATGCATGTATGCGCTGCATGTAGGAATGTATTGTAGACACAATGACATGCATGTATACACTGTGCAGCTATGTGTGTGTGCACTGCATCATACAATCTCAGGTAATGTATGCACTTCATGGACAACTGAATGTATATTCACACTGTAAGTACAGCTGCACTATGTGAGCACTTACAACTGCATTCATATGTCATGCACTACACGTATGCTTGCATGTATGTGTGCACTGCATGCATGTATACACTGTATGTGCAACTGCATAGGCTGACCTGACTTAGAGAATGGGCATGAGTACAGGTCCTGAGCCTTTGTTGTTACACAGATCAGATTTTATTCCACTGGGTTCCTGGTAGTGCTGAAATCTTGAACAAACTCATGCTATTAAAACTTCCTCCCCCTCTGATTCGTAGGGGAAAGGAGGCCCGGGTCCCTGTCTCGGGCATCTGTATTTACCCGTCGGCGGGGAGGAGGCTGGGGGCTCCTTCTGCGGTGGAGCCTGGGCCGAATAGGCGGACAACAGCAGGTTGAGGGAGCTGAGCAGCTGGCTCTGGATGCTGCTGAGCTTGGAGGCCGGCTGCTTGATGGCGCTGGCCAGCTCCGGGTACCCATGCTCCAGGCAGTTCCACTGTTCTTGCAGGAGTTCCTGGATTTTCTTCACATATTGCCCAATCGTGGCATCCACTGGCGAGCTCGGTGGCCTTCCTGGGTGCTCCTTGCCAGGGAGCTCAGAACTGACTTCCTCCCTCCCTGCTCCCTCTCTGTCACTGTTCTGCCGACAGCCTCGTGCTTCCCCGGAAAGGCCTTCAGCTCCTCCCTGCGGGCTGCCCTCCAGCTCAAAGCCTCCTTCTTCAATCCTGAGCTCAGTGGAGAGGCAGCTGTGTACAGGGGAGGCGAGGACGTTTTCAGGTCCCTTTGGCAGTGAGAGCTGGGAGGGTAGCACCTGCTTTGCTGGGGGCTGGTCCCCTTTGAACTGACTGTCTGGTCCCCATAGGAGAACAGTCTCCTCTTCCCTGACCCCCCAGTTTTCTGAGTCTGTGATGCCCAGAAAGTTGGCCCCAATGCTCTTGTCGCATGACTCCTTGATCAAGAGTCCCTGAAGAGGGTCAGTGTTCATGGCAGCATCAGTCTGGCCCGGAGCATCTCTGGTGCTCCCTTGACTAAGCTGATCTTCAAGTTGGGCTACAGCACACTCTAGCTCCTGAATTCTCTGCTCCCTAGTCCTGGCTTCCTCTTCCTGCTGCTGTAGGGCAGCTCTGACCTGGGCCAGTTCCTTGGTTCTTCCAGACAACTCACTCTCCAAGTCTAAGAGCTGCTGCTTCAGGCTGGAAATGCTGCCATGATCCAACCTGGCAAGCCCCAAGCTTTCCTCTGTTACCCAAATGCCAATGCTTTGTACCTCTACTTCTATGGGTGGCGGTGGTGGGATCTCGCTGATGTTGAGCTCGATCTCTTCTAGAGGGAACTCATTCTCAGGGATGGGAGATGGCAGAGGTGGAGGGCTTGGTGTTAAGGAACTAGGGCTAAACACCATCTTAGCTTCTCTGGTTTTGTCCTCTGCATCCTCTAGGACTACAAGTGGACTGGTGACTGGGGAGGGAGGACTTGGGAAAAAGAGGTGATTAACAGCTGTCATGTCACTTTTAGTAGTCCCAGCCCCCTCCAGGACCAGCTCTGAAATTCCTGGCTTCAGGTGTCCCAACTCTCCAACCTGTGCTTGGGTGACTGCTCCAGGGCTGGAGTTGTGAACACCTGCAAATCCTTCCAGGGAGCCAAGGGTGATGTCACAGACACTGCCTTCAGCTGGAAGAGGAGGGAGGGCAGGAGGGATGGGGGTGCCGGAGCTCAGGCTCGACTCCTCTGAGGCCCTGCTCTGCAGCAGTGTGGCCGGCATGCTGGATGCTCTCAGCAAGTGGGGTCGTGCATTCTCCGTGTTTTCAAGAGCGGGAGCATCCCCCTGTCTACTAGCCTCTGCCAGCAGGACCTTCCTGTGGTAGCTCACTGCACTGCTGCTAGCTGAGGCCTGCAGGGGATCCCCCAGAGCCAGGGACTGGGTGTGCTCCTGGGTCCCCAGCAGTACCTTCCTCGACCCGGCTGGGGACCAGCTTTGCAGGGGCAGAGCGGCATGGGGGCGAGCCCCACTGTCTGGAAGGCTGAAGTTGCGGGGCAGAGTGCTGAACTTGGCCGGCTTGGCTCTTCTGTGGATTGGAATTCTTTTGATGGTGTTGCCCTTCTCAATGTCATCCACGTACTTGAGGAAGTCCAGGTCTAGATGAAAGCCGTACGGGGTCTCCACAGAGTAAGGATGGCTCTTGGGAGGGTCTTTCTCTTCATTCTGCAGAAAGGACTGGTCTTTGGCTGGGAGATATAACACACACACACACACACACACACAAAGAAAAGAAAATGAAACAAAAACAGTACCAAGTTAGTAAGAGCCACAGGGTGAACAGGCCAAACAGCCCAAGTTCTGGCCTCTAAATTACACTGAGACACTTGGTCTTTGGAGCTGTACTGGGAAACCATCTTATTAAATCATTGTGTAGTTATCCAGTGTCTACCAGGAAACGGGTAGAGGGACTGGTTTCTAGTTTGCAGTGCGTCAGCTGCTACTGTGGAATCTGCCTGCAGCCCAGCACAGCGAAAGTGTTGAATGCTGCTTTCCTGGGCTGGAGTGACGTCTCAGCAGAACTGAAGTGGTCAGGAATTTGCCAAAATCAGGGTTCTGACTGGAAGTAACAGCTGAAGGAGGTTTTGCGGGGATGAGATCCACAGCTATCTGAGCATTCAAGAAGAAACTCATCTTACCATGATAGGTATTAGGAAATCTTGCAAAAGACGAAGATATCAATGAGTTTTAGCTTCAGGGCCACTGGTGTGGCACAGTACATTAAACTGCCTCCTGTAATGATTACATCATCACATATGAGTCCAAGCTGCTCCACTTCCTATCCAATTTCTTGCTAATGGGTTTAAAGAAGTAGCGGAGGATGGTCCAAATACTTGGGTCCCAGCACCCACGCAGAAGCTTTGGATGGAATTCCATGCACCTGGCTTCAGTTTAGCCAAGATCTGGCCAATGCAGACATTTGGGCAGTCTCTCTTCCTCTCCCTCTGTAACTTCCTTTCAAATAAATAAATCTTTTTGTAAAATATGAGTTATGGAAGTTTCCTCAGATGTCTGAGCCTCCAGGCACATGAAGTTAAAAAGAACTGGAAGACAGACTCAAGGGCAATCAATTCATTTGTTCTTTTTTTGTAAGATTTATTTACTTTCATTAGAAAGGCAAATTTACTGAGAGGGAGAGACAGAGAGAAAGATTTTTTTCATCTGCTGGTTCATTTCCCAATAGCCACAAATGACAGAGCTGAGCTGATCCAAAGCCAGGAACCACGAATTTCTTCTAGGTCTCCCACGTGGGTACAGGATCCCAAGGCTTTGGGTCCTCCCCTACTGCTTTCCCAGGCCACAAGCAGGGAGCTGGATGGGAAGTAGAGCAGGTGGGACATGAACTGGCGCCCACATGAAGTCCCAGCACTAGCAGGTGATTAGACAGTTGACCCAACAAGCCAGTCAACGCTTCCTCTATTTGGAAATTGCTGTGTTTAGGAAACATGAAAGCCATTTTTAAAAGACCTATCAAATATGGAAATATGTTTTTCACAGACTGGGGAAAAAAAAAACATAGTGAGGGAAAAGGGGGCACCAAGAGGTTATGGGCCTCATGACTTTTCAAGGTAGCCTAGACCCTGGAGAATACCAAAGTGACAAGGCTCCCCATTGCTCAGGGCTTCTCTGGAAGCCTCTGCCCACTGAGCCCTGTAGAGACTCTGAGAGCAAAGCCATCCTTTGAAGGCAGGCTGGGAGGGGAGACAGAGGGCGGGTGCTCCCATTCACAGGTTCGTGCCTAACTCACTATCCCACAAGACTGACTGCCTCCACAATGCATTCTTGCACGGGGCAGGAAGGACAAGCCAGAGGCCCTGAAAGCTGCTGTAAGACCAATGTCAAGGTCAGGGTGAAAGGAGTTAAAGATAAGCAAGGAAAAAAATTGGGTTTTGGGCCTGACACATTTGCTCAACTGGCTAATCCTCTACCTCTAAGTGCAGGCATCCCTTATGAGTGCTGGTTGGTGTCCTAGCTGCCCCATTTCCCATCCAGCTCTCTATTTGTGGTTTGGTAAAGCATTGGAGGATGAAGCAAAGCCTTGCAAGCCTGCACCCACATGGAGACCCAGAAGAAGCTCCTGGTTCCTGACTTCAGATTGATCCAACTGCAGCTGTTGTAGCCATTTGGGGAGTGAACCAGCAGACAGAGGATATTTCTCTCTGTCTCTCCTCTCTGTAAATCTGTCTTTCCAATAAACATAAATACATCTTAAACTGAGAGAGAGAGAGAAAAAGAGTTTTTTGTTTGTTTGTTTGTTTGTTTTTAAGAAGAAGTCCTACTAGTGCATGCATAAGCCAGAGGGGTGAGGGTTGGTTGGGCTTTGCCACAACATCAGCTAGCAGATGCTGGCACATGGGTGGAGGTGGGCGAACTCTGTTGAGCTAAACTGCAGTACCACCTGGAGAGTGCAAGATCCAGGAGTGAGACTGAGCCTATTAGGGAAACAGTGGGCACCTCCCTCTTGGGTTGCCATTCTGACTGCTGAGCATGAAAACCAGGACTGGACAGGCATTGCTAGACAGAGTGGCATCCACCAGTGCATGTGTGGGCTGGATAGTGGGGCTGGTTGGGTTGAACCAGGCTTCAATGCCCATTGACATGTATAAGCACTGAATGGGATGTGAGACAGACAGAACCAGTCTACTGTACATACTGGCAAGCACAGGAACCAGGGCAGGAGGCGGGGCTGGTGGGAGTTATTGTAAGTCGTTCTGACTAGGCTACAGCTCCCACTGGTTTGTGTGGGGTGCCGAGTGTGTGGTGGGCAGGATCAGGCTGGACTGCACACCCATTAGTTTGCATAGATGACAGGGCTGGAGACAACTGACCCAGCAATTGCAACTAACAGTGTGCATGTAGGTTTATTGGGGCGATGGACTATGCTGGACCCTGTGTTGGCAAGCACACACAAGAATCAGGTCTGTGATCACTTCATATGAAGTTTCTTTGGAATCTCCCCAAATGAATCGCTGGACTCAGAACTCCAACCATGGAGCAAATCGCAGGTTCCAAAGTCTGATCATGGAATGCATGTGTCAGAGCTGGGCCTCCTCAGTGGTTTAGGCTGAGCACTGGACAGCATATCCAGGTGCACTTGGAGGATATGGCAGTTACACTGGAGCCTGCAAAGGACACCTAGTACCATAATAGGGGACAGAGGACAGAATAAACTGATCAACTACCCCAGCCAAGTGTTGGCAGTGAATACCTGGGCAAACGGAGACTTTAAGGTGGACTATGTCAGCCAGTGGAGTCTGGAGAGATTTCATTGTGATTAGAGTGGCAAAATCGACAGCAATACAGAAGTGTTGAACTATCAAAACCACTTGAGCAGAACCCTCGGAGCATGCCGCACATCGGGGACTCTGGGATGATTAGAAGGCTGGGTGTGGCTTGTTCCCCCAGATACAGGAAGGAAAGAAGAGAATGTGGAAGCAATGGTTTCACACACTTTCCTTTAGCTCTTGACCCTTTTTACCCTAATCAAATATGTAAAAATTATAAAAAATAAAAATTTATACAATTAGAAAAAAAGAATCCAATAACAGGATTTTTTGAGCATCATAGAGGCTGCCCCTGCCCTGCCCAAGCTGACGGCAGATCTGGGATCAGCTCTTTCTACTTTGCCTGCCCGATTTCTTCTTTTTCCTTCATTTCCTAATGATGCTACCAGGTGGGCGCTCCTGTGCTTACAGAAGTGCAGGTATCATCAGATAATGAAACACAACCAACCAGACAGACCCAGGTTATGAACTAGCGGGTCATGGACACAGCGAGGCTCCCAGCCCTCACTGTTAGGTGCAGCTGGGAGACTGAAGAACTCACAGGCAGGGCAGCTGTGTCACTGCTACGGCTGGGGAGAGGGTGGGCACCGATGCTGGCTCACAGGATGGCCTTCATTGAGCTCTGGAGTTGCTGGTGCCTGGGCTCCCCCGGTGGTTGTGGAATAAACGCTACCTCAGTACCAGCTGTACTCCCAACTGATAGTGCACACAATGCTTTTTATGAACTTTCTTCTTCCCCAAAGAAGCACTCTAGCAGTTTCAGTAAATGAGAGACATATCTTTCATCATTTTATTATTTTTTACAAGGTGCACCCTGCTCTCCCACCCTCCTGGTCCACTCAGCAGCCCCCGAATCATTAGGGCAGGGCCAGTCAGAGAGGAGATAGTCATCTACAGAAGAGAGATGGACAGCCCAGAAAGCAAGGAGTGCTCCTGCAGGACAGACTGTTTTATCTACTTATCGCCTCTGTTCCACGGACGTGCACTGACACGCCAGCAGCTCTGGGACCCGGTCCAGAGCACAGACACAATAGCACCATCAAGTAGGAATCTTCCATAAGAGAGAAGAGAAGTTAGTTGGGCACTCATCCACCATCCTGGGGTTAAAATTTTAGTAAGTGCTTTCCTATGCTAGGACTATGGATGCGCGCTCTCTCTCTCTCCCTCACTCTCTCTCACAAACACAGGATAATCCACCATAGAGCGCTCCTGTTGCCCATCACTCTTTACTCCTTTTTCTCCTGGTGCAAGGTGTGTGTTGGACCTGGTGGGGAGTTTGTGCTTTGATGAGCAGTGATGCCCATAAGCACTAGTCACTTTCTGCCCAACTAATTCCACTTGATGATAGGTATGCAGCAGCTCAGAGCTCTGGGATCAGGGCCAGGACTGGAGTTAATTAGCAGGACAGTCCCTGCTCAGAATGAAGGCTAGATCACATGAATCAACACAAGGTCAAATTGGCCGGATCTGATTCCAGGCTGTGGTCTCCTGCCTAGAAGGTACTAGGAAAATGATCTCCATTCCCTGGGCCTCCAGGTCTCCATCTGTCATATGACTTGCAGCACTGTTGCTCTGAGTGTTAGAGCGTGGCACAGAGCAGGTGCTGCCCACGCAGCGCAGAGGCAGGATGGGCTGATTCGAAGTAGAGCACAGAAGGATTCAGGGAGATCCTCTCCATGGAATATTGAGCTCTGAGGATTACAGCTTCAGGGGGAAGGGGGACATAAGAAAATGAGGCAGGGGGCCCGGCGCGGTGGCACAAGTGGTTAAGGTCCTCGCCTAGCACGCCCAGGATCCCATATGGGCACCAGTTCTAATCCCGGCAGCCCCGCTTCCCTTCCAGCTCCCTGCCTGTGGCCCGGGAAAGCAGTCGAGGACGGCCCAAAGCTTTGGGACCCTGCACCTGCGTGGGAGACCTGGAAGAGGCTCCTGGCTTTGGATCGGCATAGCATCAGCCGTTGCGCTCACTTGGGGAGTGAATCATCGGACGGAAGATCTTCCTCTCTGTCTCTCCTCTCTGTATATCCACCTTTCCAATAAAAAATAATAAAAATAAATCTTAAAAAAAAAAAAAAAGAAAATGAGGCAGGAAAAAGAAGGTAAGATACAAGTGGTAAGCATTTTGGTGCAGTGCCTTTTAAAAAGATTTACTTTTATTTATATTTGAAAGGCAGAGTTATAGAAAGAAGGAGAAAGAGAGAGAGGGTGAAGAGAGAAAGAGAGAGATGTTCTATCTGTTAGTTCACTCCCCAAATGGCTGCAGTGCCCACAGTTGTATTAATCAGAAGTCAGGTACTAGGAGTTCTTCTGGGTCTCCCACATGGGTGCAGGGGCTCAAGCACTTGAGCCATCCTCCACTGTTTTCCCAGGCCATAATCATGTGGTTGAATTGGAAATGAAGAAGCCAGAACAGGAACCAGCGTCCATATAGGACTCAAACACAGCAGGTGGGAAGTTAGCCTGCTATGCCCTGAGGAAGGTCCCTGTGACACAGTGATACAAGCTACCATACCACCTATATCCCATATTGGGGTGCTAGCTGCTATGCTTCAGATCCAGTTCCCTGGTAATGTACCTGGGATGTCTGAAGGTGATGGCTCAAGTGCTTGGATGCTTGTATGCACGTGGGAGACCTGAATGGAGTTACTGGTTCCTGGCTTTGGCCTGGCCAGAAGCCACCTGCAAGTGAATCAGTGAATGTAAGATCCCTTTTTCTCTGTTTCTCACCCTCTTTCTGGCATTCTGCCTTTCAAATAAAGAAGAAGGAAGGAAGGATGGAAGGAAAAGAAAGAAGGAAAGGAAGAAAGAAAGAAAGAAAGAAAGAAAGAAAGAAAGAAAGAAAGAAAGAAAGAAAGAAAGAAAGAAAGAAAGAAGAAAGAAAGAAAGAAAGGAAGAAAGAAAGAAAGAAAGAAAGAAAGAAAGAAAGAAAGAAAGAGAGAAGGGAGGGTCTGAGACCTCCAGGCCCTGGTGAAGCACTTGGAGACATCCCATTAGCCTGAGAATCACACAGGGACTGAAGGAAGGACTCTGGGAGATGAGAGAGCATCTGGAGCAGCAGGTGCCTAAACCCAGTCGAGGTGTGCCTAAGGATGGAAGCAAAGCCCCAAAGTCTAGTTGCAGTTTCTGAAGGAGATGAGTGAGAAAAGTGGCACTGGAGAGAAAGTGGCTCAAAGGGTAGCTGGCCAAAAGGGAGACTCAATGAGCATTTTTCAAAAGGCAGAGACAGCCAGGGAGCTTTGCCCTCTCTTGTGTTTTGCCTGAAGGTAGGGGGCTGTCTTTAACCAGCTGTGGGAGGCAGAGGGGCAGAGGAGCAGGTGCAGTTAGGTAGGTAGGGTGACAGATCCAAGGACATGGAGGACTTGGCTGGTGCCCTGTGGGACCCCTTCTAGGGACATGCTGGAGAATGTCAGACTCTTGGAATGCAAGATAACCGTGTGTGGGGAAAGAAAGAGGCAGGGGTTGGGGCCATTGTCTCGGGAAGTGGGTCAGGTGGGACATGAACCAGCATCCATATGGGATCACAGAATGCTGAAGGCAAGGACTTTAGCTGCTAGGCTACTGTGCTGGACATGAGTGAGGCCATTCTTAGTCTCTCAGCCCCAACCACATCACCCAGAAGACCATGGATACCTGAGTGAGCCCATGAAACACTAGCCAATCCAACCCTGCCCAGAACAATGGCTGTGGAAGCCTTGGGAAACACTAAGTGTGTTTATGTGACTAAATGTTTGAATGGTTTGTTGCACAGCAGGCTAACTGGTACTTGGGGAGGGCTAGTGTTCCAAGATGTCAAATGACTTGGAGAGCCACTCAGATTGAACAGAAGCTCTTCCACCACAGAGTGTGCCTGTTTCCCTGACCTCACATGCCACGTGTGTAAACAAGAGTAAGGAGAAGGAGCACATTATGCCTTCTTAGTGCACAGATGACAGGAGAAAATGCTGTGAGAGTTATATCATTTTACCCTGTCTCATTTTTAAGGTTTTCCTCTTATTCTCTATATCAGCAACAGGGAAATTTAAAATTTTTTTCTGCCAAGGGTCATTTGGATATTTACAACATCATTCATGCCATATAAAACTGTCAACTTAAAAGTTAACCTACTATACATTTATTGCATTTCAAATCCTGCCTGTGGTAGCCTGGGTAAGGCCAGACCAAATGATTTTGCAGGCCTTATGTGGCCCGTGGGTTGGATGTTCCATTGTGCCCTGCTCCAAATCCACTGGATGAGCATCATTTGGCCTCCCAGCACTGCCTGTTGGGAAGTGTCTCCCATAGACATCTTGGAGGCTCATTTAGGATCATGGTAACAGTCCTTCCCCACCCTCGTGCCCAGAGAAAGTGGCCGACCTACCGTCTGTTTTCTCCATTTTAGGGAAGGCCGCCCCTCTGCCTCTCAGACACTCTTCTTCCTGCCCTTTTGCCAAGGATTCTGAAACAAACAAGGACAGAGAGTTTAAGTCTCACTATCATTAGTGTAAGATGGCAGTACAAACTCACAATACCAAAAAGAGGAACACCCACCCCTGCTGTACCCACCGGGAGCCCATTCTTTTGTGTCCTGTGATGTATTAGTAGAGCAGGCATTTGGCCTAGCCACTGCACTTGGCAGATGAACAAACTGAGGCTGAAACACTAATTTCTCTTAGATCTCATGAACACAACCATGAAGGAGCTGGGGCCAGACCCAACTGGTTCTCCACTGTTTAAAGAGTTACCATTTATCTACCCAGGTCCTTCTTCTCCATTGCATGGAATAGCTAGAATCAGAGTGTCTACATGAGGTCTGTGACATCCCAGTCAAACACAACACAAAAATGAGACAATTTGCTACTGAGAGCCACTGATATGTAGAGGTGTACATTGTGCTGAAGCTCCACCTAGGGGATCAGAAGAAATCAGAAACTATTCAAACAGAATTTCATCTTGACTCCACTTGATCTTAGACAAAACGCTGAGAAGTGTTTCATCTTGACTCTGAATTAGAGCACCTTGCAATATGTGATCAGAATTCTCCCCAGAGTAGATGATCCAAATTCTTCCTTCAAATGATGACCAACCCAGCTCTTTCCTGCACTAATTAAGTCATTCAGGAAATTGGCTGTTTATGATAGGAACTCCACATATATTGGGATAATGGAGTACATATGATGCCAAAGTAGAAATGGGGTTACTTTAAGGAATTCAAATGCACTTGACAATGAACTCCAGACCAGAAAAGTGGACTAGTGATGAGGAAAGGATAAGGAGAAACGAGATGAAAGAAAAGAATGAGGAGTGATTCCCCCCAGCAACCCAGGAGGGAGAAGAGGGGAACCAACAAGTAGCCGAAGAGGGCTGGAAACAGCAGGCCTGCCAACTGCGAGGGAAATTCTAAAGTTTGTTCAACAGGGAGTCTTGTACAACTTATTTGTGTGAGTGCGGCTTTTGCTAGCAAAGTCACTGCCTACCTTCCTGCACTGGTTCCTGCAAACCATCCCCCGTGCAGCTTCTCCAGGGCTAGCCCTAGTACCCTGACGGAATCCAAAGGGCAGGCAGGTTTTTTAGAAGCAGAGACCTTTTCTGTAAAAGGAACACCAACATCAGATCCTTCACTTCCTCCCAAGGTCACAAGCACTTGGCCAGCAATACTAGGCTTCTTCAAAAATCTCATGGAAAATTGAATTGAACAACTGACTGGTGCCAAAACCTTCTGAAACCCATACCTGGTTCTTCCATCATACACATTTGCCATGAACTTTATACTGACCCTTGTTTTTGAGTTTGGCAGAATTTGTAAATTAGGGACAAGACAGGTGACAACGTGGATGGTCTTGAAGCTGAGTATAGCAATGAAGGAGGCACGTGATGGAGAGGTGAGGCAGGGTTGCCCTTCTCACTTTCTTCACAAGGCTCTCAGACAGTGGATATTCTTGTTCCTCTTGACACCCTGGGCCTCCAGGCTTCAGTGAGCACTGCTGGCAAAGAGGAGAGGCTCGACAACATCAAGTGATGCCTGGGCCAGATCCTGGGCCTGCCTCGCCACCATCACAGCCCTGCTCTTGCTCCGTTCCCCTGGCTCTCCTACCGTAAGCCCTGGGCAGAACTTGGAGCACTTGACATGCCGTATTTATCTCAATTCTCATAACCCAGAAAATATTTTTTTGATTAATTTAATCTTTACAAGATATTTTAGGTATTTGGAAGGCAAAGTTAGAGAGAGAAAGAGAGAGAGAGAGAGAGAGAGAGAGAGAGACAAAGAGACAGATCAACTGAGAGAGCAAGAGAGATCTTCTATCCTTCTATCTGCTGCTTCACTCCCTCAGTGGCTTAAAGGCTATGGGCAGGGCCAAGCTGATGCCAGGAGCCAGGAACTCCATCCAGATCTCCTGTGTGGAGTGTAGGAGTCCAAGCACTTGGACCATCTTCTGCTGCTTTCCCATGCACATTAGTAGGGATCTGGATTGGAAGTGGAGCAGCTGCAGCTTGATCTAGTACCTGTATGGAAGATTATTATTCTTGTCATTTTTCAGATAAGAAGACTGAGGCATGCTGAAAGTCATAACAAATGTTTGAGCAGGATTTGCTCTAAAGTCTGGGTAACTCCAAGCCTGTGTTAGAAAGAGAAGATCTAAAAGCATTTGTCTACCGTGAAAGCCAGCTCTGCTGTGGCCGACTCCTGATTCTCCTTGTGAGGGGCTATGTTTCTGAGCCTCCCCTGCTTCTCTCACACTGACTGTGGGGCAGCCAGGACACCCCTGGGGCACAGCGGGATGCCCCTTGAACCTGCAGTCTTGGATCAGAATGAGGAAATCTACCCACTGTGATTCAGATCCTGTGATCATATGGTACGTTACATCAGTTCCATTAAGAGCTTGTTAAGATTTCTATTTAACTTGAATTCCATTCAAATCTGTGACTTTAACACTGAGACAATCAAAAGGAGCCAAGGAAGGGGCTCAGCAGCTTGCCCTCTACAGGAGATAGGAGAGAGCCATCATGTGTGCAAATCACCAAGTCCAGCTCCCACCCGGGCTGCTGCCCCAGCCTTTTCCACGTTTGTCCATGGTCCTTGGGAGTTTAGGTCAGGAGTTTCTGTTGAGTGGTGATGTTTGATGTGAGGTGAGTGGAAACAGAGATTAAGCTGTGTTAACACATGGCACTCTGCGATAGAGCAGAATTATCTATGGAAGAAGAATTTTGGGCCTGGCACGATGGTTCAGTGGCTGAAGTCCTCGCCTTGCAACCACGCTTACGAGCGCTAATTCCTGTCCCAGTTGTTCCTCTTCCCATCCAGCTCCCTGCTTGTGGCCTGGGAAAGCAGTTGAGGACAGCCCAAAGCCTTGGGACCCTGCACTCACGTGGGAGACCTGAAGAAGCTCCTGGCTCCTTGCTTTGGATCAGCTCAGCTCCTGCTATTGTGGCCACTTGGGTAGTGAATTTTTAAATTTCTCCTTCTCCCTGTAAGTCTGCCTTTCCAACACAAACAAATAAATTTTTTTTTAAAGGAAGAATTTTGCAACCCTGTGACTCAAAGTAATGGTATCTCCTGTGCCAGGTAAGTATAACCCTGTGACACAAAGTGATGTATCATTCATTCTGTGAAGTTGTACCCCCCAGGGTTCAGCACATTTCTTTTTTCTTTTTTTTCAAATTCGTTTAATTTATTTGAAAGGTAGACTTACAGAGAAGAGAAACACAGAGTGACAATGGCCAGAGTTAGTCCGGGTCAAAGCCAGGAACGAGGAACCCCATCCAGGTCTCCCACATTGGTAGCAGGGGACCAAGCACTTGGGCCATCTTCCGTTACCTTCCCAAGTACATTAACAAGGAGCTGGATTGGAAATGGAACAGCTGGGACTTGAACCAGCACTCAGAGGGATGCCAGCATCACAGGCGATAGCTTAATCCATTGCGCCACAATGTCAACCCTGGTTCAGCATCTTTTAATGTCTGGTGTTGTTTTTGCAACTTTTCATTTGTGTGTGTTCTAGTCCAGGGTCAAGAATTGCCAATTAAGAAGAAACTCAGCTAGTTGTATTTTAAATAACCGTAAACATTCTCTCCCCTTTTCTCTCTCTCTCTCTCTCTCTCTCTCTCTCTCTTGGCCCCTCTCTCTGTCCCTCCTTTTCTCTTCTCATCTCCTAGTCTTTAAGTGTGTGAAGGTCAGAATTTTTGCAAAGTGCATTCCTGTGTCACCCTCAACTCCCTCTAACATGTGACAGACCCTCAGCTCACAGTTCTTAAAGAAACAACAAAATCTCAGCACAAAACAACTTGGCTTCTGAAGGAAACCTATGGAGAGAAAAATCAGCAGGGGCTAAGCAGCTGCTCTGGGGGTCAAGTCCTGGGGATCATTTCTCACGTTACGTTTGTAAGGAAACCACCCTGGGAAACAGGGGTTAGGTCTAAGGGATTGATGAAGAAACGGAGGCACAGAGAGGCTGTGTGGGCCGATGAGTTAAGGGGGCAGAATGGCTTCCGTAACTCTAGTGCTCCACTGAGCCTTCCAAAGCCAACGGGACAATGCAGAAGTACAGATGGCCACAACAGTCCAAGTGCAGTCGGAGGGTCATAGAGACGCGCCAGCAGGTCCATCCTGGGTGGACGCCCAGCAGCAGACTTCCCTGGGCCAGCCGAACCTGTGTAGCTTTACCCACACCTCCCCCTCCAGCCTCACTCCTTCCACAACGCCCCTCTCAGCCTCAGTGCTAACCCACAACCCCCAAATCCAGACACCCTCCCTGATTCCATCTTGACCCTGAAACCTGGCTCTGCACTTCTATTCTTGCCAAACCTTTCTGTATTCTGCTATGATCCAAAATGCTGTGTTTCATCCCAGAGCAGGCTGCATGCCAAAGTAAATAGCACCTTGGATTTCCTTGAAAAGAGTTCAGCTCAAAGCCCTGCCTTGCTGTCGTGAGAATTCTTGCAGAAGTCAACCTTACAAAGTCAAATATTGAGCAAGGAAGTGCACCAACCAGCAGCCCCTGCCAATGCCCACACAGTCACTCACAAAGACAAAACACTGTTGGCAGAAGAAAAAAAAAAACAAGTCACCCAGCCCCTGGATAGTCCCTGCCCAGCGGTGACAGCTGCCTGGCTCCCCATCCCAGATCCTCGTGTCTCCAAGAGGATTGGCTCCCTGCACAGAGCAGGAGGTGTCCTCCGGTCACTGCTTAGCACTCCTGGAAATGATTCCTCCAGCCCACCCAGTGGGCTTGTTGCTGACCAGGAAAACAAGACTCAATAAGTAGCACATCCATAAAATCTCATCCACTCCATGTCCACATTTTTTTCTGTAATGCCTGTCTTTTTTTTTTTTTTTTTTTTTGCCTGCATTGCAGCAACCGGCTCTGGATGAAAGCTTTACCTTTCCTTGCATCCTCTC